GCCTCATTTGATGGAATAGTTAATGTTTATTGTTTAAAATAATATAATTAATTTATAAATTAATATTTTTAAATATTATAATTATTTTTAAAAAATTATAAATAAATAAAATCAACCAAACTAAATATACTTACTAAACTATTCATGTGGCCGCAACAGAAGTCCAAACTACGCCCTGGAATGGAACAACTCAAATAAGGCACACAATACACTACGTTACTTTCTCTCTCTCTCTCTCTTTTTAACTCTATTTTTTATGATATCAAAGACATTTTTCGGTTATCACAGCAAAAGAAATGTATTTCTAGTAGGGAATACAAGGGGTCCTTCATCCCTCGATCACAGATCATCTTACATTCTCTGCACATAAACTTGAATTTAAGGACCAGTCATAGAAAGAAAAGGCAAATTTGTTAGCTTTTCCTTTCAAACACAAAAAAAGATCTAACATGAATCTTGTCAAATACTTCAAATGGGTCAAAAGTGATTTGCTGAAATATTAAGTCGCTCCCAGCCATCCATCCAAAGGTTGTTTGACTAGACTTAAAAAGTGATTGCTTTAAAATTATTATTTATTTTTTATAAATTTAAAATTTTATTAAAGAAAAGTAATAAAATTAACTTTTTAAAGTAAATTTTAATTAAATTTTAAAAAACTATACATTTGAATTCTTTTAAAATTTGTTTAGAATTGGCTTTTAAAGACAATTTTTAATTGTTTTATAACAAAATTTTAAATTGATGAAAGATAAATAATACTTTTAAAATAAATTATTTTTAAAATTTTACCAAACATTTTCATTTGTCATGCAACAGTGAGGAATACCAAAGAGCAAACCTCCTTGAGTCTCGGCAAAGATATACAGTAAGTTCACAGTTGTCTACATATGTTTTAACTTTATTTTTATTAAATTTTTTTGAAGGTGAAACTTTTAATCAACTATAAATAATATATTCTTTTTAAACATTAAAATATTTCTAAATTAATTTTTACCCACTCGAAACTAATAATATTAAAAAATAATTTTAAGAGTACATCCAAGCACACTACAGAAAAATTGCTTTTGACAACATCCTTTGTTAAGATGGTTTACTTCAAAATTGTGTTAAAATTGTATTTGTGTCTATTACGATCATTTACCTAAAAAGGGGCTAAAAAGGGCGATGCAAGTGAGGATTTTTTTTTTTTTTAGTGAAATCGGCATGTGAGTCCTCCTAACAATACTTAACTACTAAAATAAAAAAATTCCTACAAACCTGGAATTTAACAACCAAAACAAGTGAAATGTGAATACGAACAATTCTTAACTACCAATATCTTCCGAAGGATCTTACAGTCAAATCCCAAATCGGCTTGTGAAATGTGAATCCTCCTAACAATATTTAACTACCAAAATAAAAAATTCCAGGTTTGTAGGTCCTTTCTTATCTAGGTTGGGCCAACTTGTCCTAGGAATAATCACAATATAAAAGCCAGAGGCAGCGCCAGCTTGTGCAAATAATATTACCATCAGCAGATTCTTCTTCATTCCTAGATGGATTCTGTTCTGGTAATTAAGTTTTTATTGTTGGTTCTAATCCATTTGGTTTTCATCCACGGAAACAGGGGCTGCTTTGAAGAGGAGAAGGCGGCTCTTCTGGAATTCAAGGCCTTTGTCAAATCGGATGGTTACGATGCAGACCAACTTCTTCCTTCATGGGTTAATGACCCTGAGCATAAGAGTTGTTGTAAATGGGAGAGTGTCGGTTGCGACTCCACCACAGGCCATGTGATCAAGCTCTCCCTCAGCAATATCAGGCAGTTTGATGACCCCTCATATAGCTTATATGACCCCAAAAACAGTTGGCATTTAAACCTCTCCTTGTTTCAACCATTTAAGGAGCTAAGGAGTCTGAATTTATCCTTCAATGTAATTTCTAGGATACAGAACAAAGGTACGCTTGTTATGAAAGTTTTCCCTTTAATTTGCAATAATCTAACTGTCGTAGCTACTAGCTAGATTGAGTCAGATTAAGAACTCCCCAAACAATACAAGCTATTTAGAATTTGATTTTTGTCTCTTTTGCCAATAAGGAAAAAATGTTTACATGCAGGGTTGTCATCAGTTTTTGAAAACTTAGAAGTGTTGGATTTAAGATCCAACATCCTAAATGGCTCCTCAGCAACACAAGGTACGCGAATCAATAATTCTAAATTCTTTGACCCTGCACCTTAACTTGGACTAAATGAGTTTTCCTTACTACTTCCTTCAATTTCTGTGGAAATAATACTATCCCTATATATGACAATATTAGTCTCATCAACATCACAACATGAGTCCATATAGTCACTGCCACATACAATAAAGGGAAGACAAAGTTGAAACCATCACAAACATTCGAAAAACATAACACTGTTGCATGCATCACTGTGTGGCCAATTGTACTTAATGTACGGTTGACAAATAACAAATAATTATTCCATGCTTAATTATAAGAGTTAATTAATTTAGTATTTTGTAATTTGAATTGTATTAAATTACAAAATATTAATCATAAAATAAAGAGATATGCATTCATTATCAAGGATCCTTCATCATTTAATAATTAATGTTTTACAATTCAATATAGTATAAACAACAAAACATTTTTTCTTAACCATAATTATACCCATTTTCTTGAAAATAATTGGGCTGGTGGAAGTGAAATAATTAATATTTAATTTGAGGTGAAGGTTGCAATAATAGGTGTTTTTTTTTTTTTTACTATTACATTAAATTTTAATAGACCTAATTTTTAATATAGGACATTTAAATTTAGTTATTCACCTTTTATTGTTAAGATATTATTTAATGTGACTATTCTTATTTAAAAAAATTAATTACAATATATTTTAAATAAAACAATTTATTTAAGTAGTACAAATAATTAAGAAAAATATAAAATTTTATTAATTAATTATTATATCTCTATTTTATTATAATTAA